GAAGGGGCAATTTAGCACATGATGATTTTCTTATAAGAACCCTTCTGTTGTTTCTCTTACTTAAGTTCTTTGCCTTAGTTTTTGACTTGGGCTCTGTTTTTTGTTATAGGAGCGGTTGCAATGGAAGGAAGGTTGAGCATAAATTTGACATGAAACCACATGAAGAAAACATTGAGGAATATGGGAGATTGTGTCGAGAAAGGTCAAATAAGTCCATGATCAAGAACAGGCAAATACAGGTAGGTCAATGAGTATGCATTGGCTTCGGGAAAGCACATTTTTTGCCTTTAATGTTACTATGGTGCCTATCATCTTATGTGTTTTTGATGCATTTTGAAGGTTATTGATAACGATCGTGGAGTGCACATGAGGCCAATGCCTGGGATGATTGGCCTGATTTCATCCAACCCCAAGGTACTTGGATACATGGTCTCTGGAGAGCAGTGTTTTCTATTTTTTTACTCTTAAACGTAAACAAGTTTGGAGTTGGAATTATAGATTCATACTTCCTGTTGTCCATTGTCTCTGGGCAGGATAAGAAGAAAACAATGCCAGTTAAACAATCAGAGGTGAAGAGAACCCGAAGGGATCGTGGGGAACCGGAAGATATTATGTTCAAGCTGTTTGAAAGACAACCAAATTGGACTTTAAAGCAACTTGTCCAAGAGACTGATCAGCCTGCTGTAAGCCTCTTACATTTCTCTGTCATTGTACCACTGGATATGTCTTATGGCTTGTAACAATGCTTTGAGTGTTTTCTTTGCTGTAATATGTAATTCTATCCGTATCGTAGAAATTGCAATTTTCTTCTTAAATGGAAAAAAAATCCCTGCTACAATTTCATCAGCTATATATTTCAGCTCGATAAAAGTATTTTGTAGTTTGTTGTTGTAGTTTGTTGTTTTTGTGCTTTTTTAGCGGTTATCATGTATTTATGTGTTTGAAAGATTTTTGCTTTACTTTCTTTGCAGCAATTCCTGAAAGAGATATTGAACGAGCTCTGTGTGTACAATAAGAGAGTTATAAGAAATCTGCAGAGGACACTGCAGATGAATAGGTCAGACATAGCATTATTGTAACGTACATTTCCATTTTCTCTCGGCTCTTGCTACAGTTAGTGGAACATGTCACGAAGACAATCGATAAACAGATAAAACAGCTATAGGAACCAGGAAGAAGGAAACTTAGCCGCTCCTCGTGTTATAATCTATATATCAGAATAACATTCGGAAGGAGAATGCGGCGTTTATATTACCTGAATTCACATCTGTGTTTCTTGCATATGAAGTTCCATCACCTATTCGGGAGAAGGAAACGTATAACATGTTTCAAACACAATTTAAACCCTTTTCAACTGTCTACTGATTCATCTTGTTAGACCCACGCTACTAAGATGATGAGTATCTTGACAATGGAAAAAAAATTCTATAACCATCTCCATTAAAATGGCCTGATTGAACCTGGCTGCTGATAAACTTGAGCTTCAATTTGGTATTAATTGGGGGCTAGGGTGCCCCATTTGAGGGACCCTTCTTTCAATATTTATTTTTTCAATATTTATTTTTATTTAATAAACGAACAAACAAAAACAGAGGTGTGTTTGATTCGTTTATATTCGCAACAAGATCATTTATTGGATCGTTTATTGACTTGTTTATAGGGATGGGGACGAGATCCAAACTCGACGGGTTATTACCCGACCCAATTAGGTCGGGCTTTTTTTTAAAAAAAAAACCTCGGGGTCAGATCAGTTTTTTTAGAGAATGTGTTTGGGTTTAGGGTGAAAAATATTCGACCCAACCCAAAAAATAATGTAATTTTGCCTTATATATTTTGGGATAATTGCAATAATCCTCGTCTATATATATTATATTTTTCAATTAGATTCTTATTTTATCTAATAAAATTAATATATATTTTTTTATAAATTTATTTGTTTCAGGTCTAGTTCGGGTTTTATCTAAAAAATTAGGGTCATGGTAGGGTTAAATTTCGGATAGATGTTATATATTTTCGGGTCGGGTCGGGTTTTGGGCTTGGTCAAGTTGACCCAAAACCTGACCCGACCCATGTCCATTCCCATCCCTACTTGTTTATAAGCTTATTTATATGGTTCTCATTTTCTTTGTTTTTTTACATTTTAAATACTTTGAATGTAAGGGCTAATTTGAACATGTTGTGAACTTTAGAGTTCAAAGTGTTGAATCTATATTTTGATATAACAAATAATGGTAAAATATTTTTGGACTTAATTAAATTTGTTCAAATGATTCAGAAATAATTCAAAGTCCACAAAACTTGAGAAAATGTTTTCCAAGTATTTTTGACTTGATTTACACCTTAAACTATATTTAGAAAATCAAAATAAATCAAAATATTCAATTTTGGACTAAGGTTTTGAAACCCCTTTAAGGTTTCGAAACCTATGAGGCAAAATGCTCAAACGGTCAAAATTTCCTTATGGTTTCAAAATCTCTTGATTGGTTTTTAAACCTCTGGTCTCGAAACCCCTTGACGGGTTCCTAAACCCCTGGTTTTCTAAACCCTTGCTTGCTTTCTAAACCCTCTTTCTAATGATCATATTTTTTAAGAGGGTTTCGAAAACCCCTATAGTGGTATCGAAATCAAGGTGCAGAAAAGTTAAAATTGAGGGGATTAAAGGTTTACAATGGCTCCAAAACATCCCCAGCGGTTAGAAACGACCACAAGTTCATTCCATCATATAAAAACAATCCAAGGACACTCGAAGAAGGTTACTACACCTATCCAAGCTTAGAGATCAAGAGAAAATAGTCTTCATTCTTATTAAGTTATTTTCTTCATTTTCTCTTGTACATAAGTGTATAGAGCTTAATTTCATATATTTTATATCCATTCTTGAGAGCTTAATCCTTGTAAACACTTACCTAGAGAGGTTTTCTTGTTTATACAAGTTATCCTTTGTTGAAAAGGGGAATAGTTCTAGTTTAGCCTTGAAAAACTAGAGAAGTGTAAATGTTACTTTTGAGCCTAAAAAAGAATGATCAAATTAGTGAATTTGTTAAAAAAATCCTTAGTGTAGAGCTAAGGTAGTGGATGTAGAGTTGGTTGAGAAGTCAAACCACCACAAATCATTGTGTAAATTTTTCTATCTTTATTGCTTCCACGCCAAAGATTTTTAAAGGCCAATTCAACCCATTTGGTTGTTTTTGGTTGATCATTTCGAGCCTAACACAAAGTGTAAAGCATAAGGAATTTAAAAATGTGATGTAATTTCACCATTTTTTGGCTTGTAAATAAAAGAACAAAGTATTGGTTGTCGAACGTAAAGACAACATTCAACCAATACTTTTGCAAACATTAAATAAATATGTTCACATAGTGGCAGATTTAGAATTTTCTTTAGGGTGGGCACATTATATATCAATAACAAAAAACATTTGTATAAGGTGGATAGAAATAAAATTTAAGGGGGACAACTATAGTAAATGAACAATTAACATAAAGAAATTCGGATTCCTGGATGGGCACGTGCCCACCTTCGGTTCAACATACATCCGCCATTGTGTTCACGAACGCTAAACGAACTGAACACAAACAGGTACAAAGAATTACAAACAAGATATTGAAAATTTAAACAAACATGAACCGAAGATAAACACCTTTAAAAATAAAGAAACGAACATAATTTTATTCATTCAATTTCGATTTATTCACACCCTAATCACAACTCATATAATATTATAATATTATTTTTTCTTTATTTATTATATATAATATTATTTAATATTAAAATTTATAAACATAAAAGAAATAAATAATTATAATTTAAATAGTTTTAACTTTAATATTTGTTGAATAGTCTGGAGTGATCGAAATAAGTTTATCTTTCATCACTAAGATCACCTATTAAGCTATTTAACTGTAATAATTTTAAATTTAATCTTTTATCTTTAAATAATTAAAAACAATCGGTTATATAAACATATACTGCAAAGGTTAAAGAAATTAGTTTATGTAGAAGTTTGAATATGTGTATGTGATTCTTCCTTGAGCGGTTATGGAAGTTTCTCCTTAACTTTTTCATGAAAGTTTGATCTCAGGTTTCTTGGATCCATCGTGTTCTGTATTACTGTTTTTGTTGTGTTTTGTTACTGTTTGAGCATGGCCGACCAATTGTTAGATGGATGGCAATAATTGCTACCTAGAGATGAAATTATCACGTTTATCGTAATATTGTAATAACAGTAATAAAGGATACTATAACAATCATTGTGAATATTAATAAGTTCCGCATGACACATTTATTACTGTATAACTATTATTTTAATAGTAAATCGTCATTTTCGTGATTCTTTAGTCCAAATAATAAAAACTGATTGGAAACTCGATCGACTGACTACTGTTATATCATGTTATCGAGTCCACATTGATTGAAGTTCCAGTACGTGCGAATACTATCCTAACCTTGTCTGATCAAGCCATTTATGTATCTTTCTCCTACAGCCAACATTGAGCATCAACCTATGAATTTTGAAATTGTTATGGTTTCTGTCTCCCCACACTGTGGAATGTAAGAAGGTAACCCTGAACCTTGTACAAGTTCATGATTTTTTTCTGAGGTATGAAAAAATAGAAGATTTTTATAATGGTGAATTCGCTCTTACTTGAGGATTAATGCATGTGCTTTCTACCCTATTATAAAATTCTTTTTATTGTTAATATATATATATATATATATATATATATGTGCATCTTCAAAATTATTTTTTAATCTATTACGTTAGAATGATTTTGGAATAAAAAAAATTTTAGGTATCAAAACCGATTAAAAGTAATAGTTTAGCCAAAAATAAATCTAATTAGATTTTGTTCCACTTTGTGATTTACAGCCCAACGGCTCCCAACACGAGAAAAGAAAAAAAAAACCACCACAAATAAACATAATAATAAAATGAAACCCCAAAATCCAATCTTTGCAGCTATAAATTGGACTTGAGGCATAAACCATCTATCTACAAATTACAAGCGTCCAAAGCACAATCTTTTGCGTATAGGTTACTGACATCTACATCCAACCCTTTTGATACCCATCTTCCTAATCCTCCCCTCCCCAAACCCGAGACTGATTTTCATGTACGGTGAATCTTGAATGGCGGATCAAGAGGTCGTAGTCACTGCTGCACCAGGTCACGTCCCCTCCGATCATAAGCGGAAGCTTGAAGATATCGAGCCCCAAGCCCCACCTGACGACATGCCTCTCGGTTCTGATGCGGAGGACAATGATGTAGCGGCATCTGGTTCGTCCGAGACGAAGCGGTCTAAGCTGGTCAATGATGAAACCGACGGCTTGGGTAATGAAAATTTTCTTCTAACTTTACTTTTGGTTTTATTTTAGGGTTTTTGTAATGTTCAGCTTGTGAACGGATTTAATGCGTTGGACATTAATTCTTGGGCTTTCTAGTTATTATTTCCGATGTTTGCTTTGGTTCAAGTGTAAATTTTCTATTTGATGAAACAGCTTACTAGGAAAACTCAAGTGTGTGTTTAGTGACTAAAGTTACTTCATTTGCTAAATTGAACGGTCTTGGGCTTGAATATCGCATTGAATGTTCGGGATTTTGCTGTAATTCGAGTCTTCCCTCTAATAGCTAGATTTTAGGACCTGGTTTTCCTGGGGTTCATATCAAATTATGTGCTAGGTTCATTTCAAAGAGGATCAGTTTGGAGATAAGTTTCGAAGTCTGATCAAAGTACGGGTGGGGAATGGAGAGAGCATCAATTTTTGGTTTGATTGTTGGGCGCTTGATTTCCCTCTTAAAGTAGTTTTCCCGAGAATGTTTGTTCTGTCTTTAAACAGGAATGGGAAGCTTAAGGAGTTTGGAGAGTTTCGGTCATCAATTTGGTCTTGGCATGTTCACTTGAGAAGAAATCTAAGTGACTGGGAGCTGGAACAGTTTTCTGATCTTATGGCGATAATTCACAATATCACTCTTTCCCATGATTTGTCAGATGGGTTGATTTGGAAAGGGAATGGGGAAGGTATTTATTCTGTCAAGTCCAGTATGAAGTCGTGCTGTCCTATTTCGACAACATACTCCTTTTGGATGAGATGTATTTGGAGAGGTTTAGTGCCTCCTAGAGTGTAGGTCTTTATGTGGCAGGTGGTGTATAATAGATTGGATGTTAAGCAAGAATTACAAAGGAGAGGAGTTTCAACTATTGTTGATGTTGCATGCCCGTTTTGTAAAGAGGAGGCTGAATTTGGACCTTAATTCTAAAATTTGGACCTTTATTCCGGGAGTGGTTCTATGGACGATTTGGAAAACTAGGAATGATATTGTCTTCGATGGGGGAAGGGTAGATCAGATCGAGCTATTTTTTATGGCAAGATGTAGGTTGGCTAATTGGTTCTTAGCTAAATTCAATGACGTGACTATTCTAAAGGATTATCTCATTTCTGATCCAACTCTTGGAGACTGTTGTTCTAATCCAAGGCTTTCGATTATCAAAATTGTGTCTTGGTCTCCTCCTCCAAAGGGTTTTATAAAATTGAACGTTGATGCAGCAGTGAATGGAGATTGGAGGAAAAGTGGTGTTGGGGGCATTCTAAGAGTTGAGGATGGCTCGGTGATGGGTTCTTTCCAAGAGGCTGCTGGTCCAGGTCCACCTCTATTGATTGAGATTATGGCATTAAAGAAGGGTTTATCTTTTTTCGCTTTGATTCATCAGAGGTTTAAAGAACGTTTAATTGTTGAATCAGACAGTAAACTAGCAGTGGAGTGGGTCAAAAATTATGAATGTTGTCCTTATGTCTACAGTCTTTGTGAAAGACATTGTTATTTTGTTAAGAGATCTTAATGGTATTATTAGATGGGTTCCTAGATCAGCCAATGTTGAGGCTGACAGCTTAGCTAAAGCAGGTATTGGCTAGTTACATAGTTTTCTATTAGGCCTTAGTTAGGATTTGGGTTGATTATTGTAAAGGGTGTGTTTTGTTTTTAAACATAATGTATCTTTCGGTTTTAAATGAATTAAGGCACTCTTTTCCTCCTTCCGCTGATTAAGGAGCACTTTCTGCTCCATTAATCATGAAGGGGGTTTTTAACGAGGCCTACCTTCTTATCAAAAAAAAAAAAATTATGTGCTAGGTGAACATGTAGTGAGAAGATTAAGGCTCCATTTTGTTGTTATTTTTAGTATTTGCTTGTTCAAAAACTGCCAAAAGCTGAGCAAATATTTTTAAAGTAGATATGGTTAAAATGCAACACACCTTCAAACATATTTCTTTTATCTAGAAATTAAGTAATATAAATACTGGAAACTCCAAAATTCAAATTTTCAAATATAAAATTTTGTATTTGTTTTTGGATTTAAATAAGATCAGTAAAGAATATTTAAATCCAAAAACAAATAGTTTATTGCTTTACTTATTCCAACTATTCTATGATCGTTGTTCCTAACATGACAGCTAATTGGAATGGATTCGAAGCTGAGAAGTTGGATGAACCTGGAAAGCAGGAAGATGAGCCATTGCCACAAAATGAGTTTAAAAAGCAATCAGAGGATGGCAATGCTCCATCAGAGGGGGCTCAAACTACCGTAAAACATATATCAGTTGAAGGAACAACTGAGGAAACTGAGCAACAATCTATAGATAATCATGAGGCTAGTGATGCTGAGTTAGGTAAAGTTGAGAGTTTTGAGGCATATAATGGTCATGAACCACTTATTAAAGACGAGAGTGAGCAACAATTTACAGGTAATCTTGAGACTACTGATGGTGACTTGGGTAAAGTTGAGAGTTTCGAGGCAGATGGTGGTCAGGAACCACCTTCTAAAGAGGAAAGCAACCAACCTTCTGATGAGGTGCCTCCGCAGAATGGTGATGATGGTTCAACTATTACTCGCAAAATGGAGGTTCCTAAAGCTAAGGTATGTTAATATTTTTAGCTAGCAAAATCAGGACAAGGGAAACATTTTAAGAATTTTATATGGTGACATCTTGGATTGCCCCCTATCTGGGACTAAGCCGGGCTTGGAATCTTTTTCCTATTACTAGCTCTTTCCTGCTGTGTGAACATCCTTCGTTCTTGTGTCATGTGTACATCCAGACATAAAACCAGATGGTATCAGATAGGGAGAAAGATATTGTTGAAATTATTAGTATACTGATCTTTCATTGGTAGTGCATTTCTTCCTGTGGTGGGCCTGGTGGCCTTTCCTACCAAAAGACTAGCCCAACTGGCTACAAACCAAGTTTACTTTACTTTCGTTAGATGATCAAACAGTAAAAGTAATCATTTTTATGTTGTAATATGTTCAATCCCATGTTCATCGTAACTCGGAAAACTGTGTTCCTTTTTAAATTCTTTGCATTAGTGTTCGTTACACTTTTTCTTCTCTTCCTCTCTTAACTGGATGTCCTCTATTAACTCACATTTTCAAACAGGGGTCTCATGTTTACTTGTCTAGACTACCTCAAACGTGCTTCCTCGTTATTTTTGTTCAATACTTTGGGCCACCTTTTTCCTTTTACAATTATCCTAATCATCTTCTCATCCGAGCAAAGCGTTTACTTTCTTTATAGAAACAACCAACACTTTTTCGGCATGCTTGCTTTACATGTTTTAATTAAACTCAACTTCCAAGTTGTTATAGAGTTGGTTTTGTGAATGCTTTCTGCAGGTTGGTGTTCTCATTGGCAAAGCAGGGGATACTATAAGGTATCTGCAATATAACTCGGGTGCAAAAATTCAAATTACAAAGGATGCAGATGCTGATCGTGATGCCCCAACAAGGCCTGTAGAAATAATAGGGAGTTTGGCTAGTGTAATAAAAGCTGAGACACTTATAAATGCTGTCATAGAAGAGGTTGTATGCTGTTTCTAGACTTTTTCTTCATGTCCCCCCATGTTCTTATTAATTACTCCTGTTCTCAGCCCATCCCTCAATTAAAAATTTTATTTCCATTGCTTTTTCATTAGTTTAACTTTTGCATTTGTTTCAGGCCGACACTGGGGGTTCCCCCTCACTTGTAGCTAGAGGCCTTGCCACCACACAGGCAGCTGGAGCTGCTGATCAGATTGAGATACAAGTACCAAATGAGAAGGTTATTCCAAATTTGTTTTTCTGATACATTCCTGCAAGTACTGGTACAGATGTACTTGTGTTTGTTCAAGCAGTCTTTAGTCTTCATGACTATGGTGTGGTTTGTTTTTCTGTTTCAGGTTAGGTTTATCATTGGTAGAGGTGGGGAAACTATCAGAGGACTGCAGACTAGGTCAGGGGCTCGCATTCAGGTTGTTCATTTTTGTTTGCTTTTTATCAATTAAGATTCTTGCAAATTTGCTACTGCTTATACTTGTACGATTTATTATCTGTTTAGTTGATACCTCAACATCTCCCCGAAGGGGATGAATCAAAAGAAAGGATAGTTAGAGTGACTGGTGATAAGAGGCAAATTGAGATTGCCAGAGAAATGATAAAAGATGTCATGAATCAGGTTTGTTTTTGACCTTGCATCTTCTTCTTTAGAATTTTCTAATGATATTTTAACTGTATGTGGTGTGTGTTCCTTTATCATTTATTGAATATGTTACTACTAGAGGTGAAATATTCACATTGATTAAACATTTACTTAGTTTGTTATAGAATTGCCAGCAATGAACATTTGATATAAATTTTTGTGATCATTGGTCACAACAATCCATTCATTTGTTGAGTTCTGTTTTCCAACGTTGGATTTTAATTTTATCATTGTGCTGATGACATAAAACACATCCGAAATTTGAATGAGTCTTGTTAAAAAGATGTCATGAGCAAAATAATATCACTTGTGTATGTTGGGATTTTGCTTGTACGCTTTACTAGTAGACTTAGCAGGTCAGAATTAGAGTAGAGTTGGTTTTTAATCTGGAGTTTTAGTTGTCTTGGTAACTTCTAAAATCTGTTATTCTCATCACGTGCAAGATTCTGTTGGTAGGATGACTGATATCCCTGTGAAATGACATGAGTTTAAGAACATATTCATGTAGAATTGTATGTTAATGATGCTAACCTTTTCTTTTTCTGCACAAATGAAAATATGCTCTTTATGAGATTGGAATTAGCAATATATACACGAGAGGTGAGGTTTATTGTTAACTCTAGATGGTTAGTTAGAATGCTATCATGTATCTATTTAACTATTGTAAGAATTTATAAATTTTCTTAAATATATCTTAATAGCCCATGTTGCAACCATGTAATCTGGAGCTTAAAATCTCCACCGCTGGTGTATAGATAATTTTCTTTGACCAACTACTTGAAATATCAAGTTTAGATTGTATCTATCTCCCTCAATGGATTTGCCAAGGCAAAAAATCAATTGTAGTTAACTGCATTTTCTTCTAACACCCTGTCATCCAACTTGAGGAAGATTTATTTCATAGTTCTTAGGAGTACGAGTTTATATCCTGAACTTTAAGAGTGTTAATGATCAATGCCAACATCACTTGAATGCTATTTGAGGAAAAATAATATATTCAATCCAAGTTGCCGGTTGCCATGCTATATTTAATATTGAAGGTTCCAATTCGAATTCGATGGCTTTAAAATCTGCAGATTTGGATAGCCTTTTCCATGGGGTCAGCATTGCTCTTTTGGTGTAGCAATAGACAACCACTATTCCCCTTCATGCATTGAAGAGAGGTATCTGGCATTAAACTCGACTTCCAAGATGTTAATAGTTGGTAAGATTGTTTTGAGACTTAAAGATTGAAAATAATATAGTGAGCCTGCATGAAACCTGTTGGAAGAAGTACACCTGGTGAAGTTAGTACCTTCTAGAATGTTGTTTGATTCTATGCTGAAACTTCTGAAGAATATGGCACTTGTCCTTTGATGTCTAGAGACGATGCACGATTGTCAAAAGTGTATTGCTGTAATATCGGAGAAAGAATTGGCATTTATATCATTGCTCACTCTGGATGACATGATCTTATGCGAAAGATTTAGCATATGTTTTTTGCAGTTTAAGATGCCTGATCAATTAGAAATTCTCTTTTTTAATATTGGTTAACACTCGAATCTCTTATTCTTGTCTTTAATTATTAATATTCATTTGGTGTTCATTTATTGATTGTGCTGATGTTCTTTTAGTCCTCTGTTTTGGAGGAAAATACACAATGGTGATATTAGTTTTGCTTAGATTTTCAGTATGCTAACTTGGTAATGATATTGATTGTATTATTTATTCCTCTCCATAAAATTATTAATGATATGCATTTCAACAGATTTTTTACTCTCAACTTGCTCTTCTCATTTTTGTGTTTTGTAATTGTTGCTGTTGTATTTGAGTATTTGAATCCTTTTTGAACCACGATTTGATCTGGTAGCCAGTTGTTTCTTGAGTAACATGGTGAAGCACGATATGGAAGCTCTTTCTACTACATTTCTTTTGTCTTTCAATTGGTGAATGAAAGTTGGCTTAGCTAACTTATTATTTTGTTAAATGAATAGAATGCCAGGTCATCATCTCTTTCTGGTGGTTTCAATCAGCTGGGCAATCGACCTCGGGGAACCACTGGTCCACCTCAGTGGGGTTCCCGCAGCCGTCCTGCCCAGATGCCATCATATGATTTTCAGCAAAGGAGACCATATCCACCTCAAAACTCACATTATCAACCTCCTTATGGTGGCTACCCTCATCAAATGGCTCCGAGAAGCAATTTTGGTTCTAGCTGGGTGCAGAGGCCTCATAGCTTGCAGGGACCTCCACATAGTGGAGGTTATGATTACTATAGTAGGCAAGGAAGTGTCCCAGCACCACATTTGGCTTCAATTCGTGGGCATGGACCTGGGCCAACACATGCTCCAGCTATGGGGCTAGTGTCATCTCAATCAAATTACAATCATGGACAGCCTCATGGTCCATCAGACTATGCACATCCGCCTCCATATTCACATGCTGCTCCTCTTCAGCATAGCTATGGACATGGATATGGAGAGAAGTTTGAAAGTCATACCCCGGTTCATCATCCTTATGGAGGACATGGATCTTCTCAGCAAGGATATGCACATTCAGGTCCTCAACCTGTGTATGGCCCTCCACAGCAGCAGTATGTTAAGACACCATCTGCAATGCAGCAGCCACTGATACCCCAAGCATATGGTCCTCCGGCTAATCAACCTGGAGAAGTTCCATATGAAGGTCCAAGTGGCCAGTCATATGGTCCTAATGTTCCTCCTCAGCAGCAATACCCATATGCAAGTGGGCCCATGCAACAAAGTTATCCTCCATATGGCTCCGCACCACCCAGTAACTGGTATAATCAGATACCACCAATGACCGGCCAGCCCCTGGCATATTCACAACAAGGCGGCCAGCCTGTTCCTGGTTACAGCCAGCCTTCTGCTCAGCAAGCAACTGCTTATGCACACCCAAATTCTGCTGCTGGGTACGGCCAATATCCTCCACCTTCACAGCAGGGTTATTCTGAACAAACAGCTCCGAACACAGCTTATGGTTTACAAGGGACGCAGGACTCTAGTTATGGTGCTGGCGCTGTGACAACATATGGTGCGGCACCAGGTGGGCAAGCAACTTACCCTTACTCAACAGCAGCTCAGGCCACCTATATGATCAGTCTGGTGGATATGCAGTGCACCTGTAGCATATTGAAAAACCATTATCACCACAGCCTGGATTCCCTCTGTATGATTCGACCCAGATGTATGCAGCACCACGCTGCACTTATCCTCCTCTAGTCGTGTTGGTGATGTAATGTAAGTCCATATTAATCTATCTGGTGATGTTAACCGTGTTTCTGAGGCCTTTTAGTTCGCCAGTTTCTTATTATTAGCTTCTTTCTAGTAGCCGTATCAGTCCTTTGGATAATATTGCCATTTTAAACCTTCTTTATTTTTTGTTGTGGTCTCGGTGTGTTACTCTGCTCAATTCACTATACTTCCTCCCACCATAGGACATTGATTAGAGTCATCTCTGATCTGCGCCTTAGTTTCAAGGTGTCACCGTACATTGTGTACTATGAAAGGAGACCCCGAGTTTAAATAACCCGCTTGAAATTGCTGATATACTATGATAAAAGTGTTCAGCCTTAAAAGTACAAAATCACTTGGTGGTTATGGCTAATTAAAATGACGTGGATCTTTTGCATTAGAATATTTTTCGAGATGCCAAGTCTATAAATATAGATATTAATTACATTAATATACTATACATGTAAGAATTCAATTCTTAAATAAAATCAATTTTGTACCGTAAATTATATAAAACATAAGATGAATTAGGTTGAAATACACAAATAGAAGTAATTAATGCTTAAAGATTACAAAAGAATCGAAAAAGTGACATGAATACACGAATATGTTACTATTTTTATAAAATAATTAACAATATGCGAAGATGTGATACTTTGAAAACTTTGTTATTTGGATAAGAAACCCACCCATTTAAAAAAATGATCATGAAAACTCATAATTCTTTTACTAAATTAAGCACCATATAAATATGAAAGAATATATAGTAGCTAAGAAATGACCCAAAAAATTCTCAAAATTAAATCTCGGACAGTTTAATATGTGATAGAAAATCACAAATACTATATTTATTATTGTGATTTTATTTTAGTTATTGGAGTATATAATTTTTGAGTTTTAAAAATTTTAATCTTAATTAGAACAATAAAGGGATAACATGATTAAATAAAAAAAAGTTAAATTTATTAAATAGAAAACGAAGAATTCAATGTACACGTTATACATCTACAGAACTTTATAAATTTAATGATTATTATTTAAGTCAACATTAAAATTTTAAATTTTAAATATAATAAATCTATCAAATTAGGACTACATTCAAAGCTTCGTGTATGGTGAGAAGACTAATAAATGGATTTGACCAATTTATTTTAGGGGTAAATCACTTTTTTTTATAACTAAACTTTATTTCTTATTTCACTTATTATGTTTTTAATTTCTTTTTTAATTTAATCATTAAACTTTATACATTAAATTTTTTTAATTGCTTCACGGTTAACTTTATAACGACGTCATGATATGGTTTAATTAAATATTTTTAATTATTAAAATATATGTTAGAAAAAAAAGTTAAAAGAAGTGTAAAAATCAATTACACAAATTCTTTTACTATCGTTGGATTTTCTTTTGCAAAGAAATGTACAAAGACTAATAAAGGGACTTGACCACTCCGATCGTCATTTCAACTCGTCTGTGGTCATCATCGGTGTTTTCTTTGTCTGCTACCTCTCCGTATGCCCGTCATTGTAAGTAAGCTCACACTATGGCCATTGCATCCCCGCCGCTGCAACTTCCTCTTCTTCCATGTTCCGGCCAAAAGATCTTATGGTATCCTTTTTTTGTTGCTTGATGTGTTCCGATTTTAAATTATTTTCGCTCTTCCCTCTTTCATTTTGTTATCATCTACCTGGGTTTCAGGGAGACAACAAAGAAAATGTCTCTCTTTTTTTCTACGACGATGGGGTCTATCGCTAACCTACACTACCATAACTAGCCTCCCCACCTCTCTTTCAATCACCAATGTCTGTATTTCCACAAACCCATCTCCTCCCTTTCCTTCAGGACGTAAAATATCCCATCTTTGCTTGGAGGAATGGAAATGGTGATGGAAATTCGTTCTTTCTTTGCATCCGGTCCGGTTGCCATGCATCTACATCTTCATGTACTCCGTAAACTATCTCATCTTTGATCTCAAGAGCATGAGCGTATCAGTCTTGGCTAGTCTCTACTTGGGGTATTCTCTCTTCATGATTCTCGCAATTATGTTCGCAGCCGACATCGTCAGATTCCTTTCTTCTTTTTGGTTCGTGCATTATCTATTCTCTTCGATAAAGCTGGCTTGAATAAGGTTCTCCAAACCGTGAGAGTAAAATGTGTCAAGAGTGTTCTTTAGTAACGACGACCGTTAGAGAAACATTGGCTCATGTTTGCTCGGTGTAGAGGGAGACGATTTTCCACCAGTCAAAAATGGAAGGAAACGGAGATGCGATGGAAGGGGAAATGGAGTTAACAAGTTTTGATGAGAAGTTTTTGAGAAGCAGACCATTTACCGTACCAAATAAGATAAATGTTGATCGACGACGAGGAAAAGATCGGACCCATGTGGTACCGGAGATCAATAATTTCCGACGAGCCTTCAAACTTTTTGGCAGAGGAGATAACTCTTGGTGGAAGTTTGGGTTGAAGAAGTTAGATTCTTGAGTGTTCAAAGTTTGATCCTTTGCGGTGGCGAATATAAGGAAGCGGCAGAGGATGCAGATATTGGAAGGTGGAAGAGAATATGGTGGAGAGATTTTGAACGGTAAAGGTGATGATGTGATGACAGTATAGAAGATGAAGATGAAGATGAACAGTTAATGAAGGTTGATAATAGAAATATATAAATAATATTAATAAAATATTAAATAAAAAAAATTAATGAAAAATATCATGTCATTATATAGAAATAAAGTTTAATGATGAAATTGAAAAAAATAAAAGTATGAGAAATAAAAAAGTTTAATGTATAAAGTTTAATGATTAAATTATAAAAATTAAAAGTAAATTGAGTGAAATAAAAGGGAGGTTAAAGTTAAATTACTAAATTTGTAATCTATCCATATTTTAGATAGCAAATGAAAAGTGAAACGTGGGCCAATTTATTAATAAAGAGTAAGTTGGACGGAGTGCCTGACGGTTGTTTTTCAACTTTTCTTTGGGCTTTGCGTAGTTGTTACTTCTTTCGTTTGGAAATTGGAATTAAACATCGTTACTTTTACGTCTCAAAACGAAATAAAAGTTTGAAATTTGGTACGAAAGTTAGAAAGCGAATCAACAAGAAACAAAAATGGATTCATCGAACCTGGGTTCAGTACCGGAAGACGACCAGCAAGATAACAGTAAGCCGGTTGTTTCTGCCTTTGACTCGCGTCCTGATCGCCCCTCAACTAAGTGAGTTCTCGATCTCCCTCCTTTTCGTATTCCATTCGCTTCTTTATATTCTCTCTCGTTTCCGTGTTTCAATCGCTTCGAGCAACTTGGTTTTTTTCCTGTTTGTTTAATGCTTTTCTTGCTTGATTTTTGTTTATGTTTATCTGTTGTTTTATAAATTTTATTTGGGTTCTAATTTTCAACGAACTTGGATTCTGGAAAGGAAAACTAACACTGATTCAAACAGGACGGATCGCAGGATTTGAAGTTAGGAATTTCGTGGAACTTGAACTTATAAAATTTTTGTAGCGGCGAAAATAGATTTTTAATAAAAAAATATATAAAAAAATCTAAAATATATGATAATTTTAGACTTGGAACCCAAATGACAATGTTTGTCAAAAGGAGTAACGATACCGACACAAGCAATCGATTCAGGTGTATTGGTATAAAAAATGTACTGACTATCAATTGCATGTGCCTTACCAATAATCTTCTTTTTCATGTGATCCTAAATCAAACAATAATTGAGGTCACTCGTAAGTTTGCTAAAAAAATCAATTTAAAAGATAGTTTTGGTAGAGTCAGAACATATGATAAATGAAAGGATGAGGCAAGAAGAGTGGCAGTTCCAGACCCAATAACATTGAATATGTTGACCCATCGACTAAAATAACAGGGTTGATAGACTGATGCATGCTATTTCTTCTTCAATCATGTCAGTTAATGTATTCCTACCCAGTTTTTCTTGCATTTATTCATAATAGACATATTTGTGATTAAGTTATTTGTTGATGGATTATTTTGCATCTGCCTTTCTCGAACACCAAATGGTGCTTTTGGTTATTTCTTTCTTACTTGGTATTAATTGCAAAAAAAGTGCAGTTTTTCAGGTCTGAAGTCTTACTGAATTCAATACTCTCTCATTTATTGAAATTTTGGATGGAATGAGGAGTGGTCCTCCAATTGGATGTGCCAATTGCTTGAAAAAAACAGATTCAAAGAAAGAAATCTTCCCTTCTCTATGTTCCCGTACCTCATCTTCCTCTTCCGAAGGTTTCTCTTCTGAATTTTATACGTTAGAATGTCTTGAACAAAGGAGATAACACATTTATATTACTAACATCCAGAACGTTGGCATTCAATATTCCTCTAATCATTAGTCTTTGTATGTGGCCTTTTAGATGGGAATCACATTCTACTTAATTTGAGATGGGGGGAGAAGAACTATTTTTGCTAGATTTTCTGTTTTATTCTTAATTTTTGGTTTGAATTTATATTTTCTATGTTACTTATGTAGGTGTTTGATTTTTTAATAAACATTTTTGTAGGAGTTCTTCTGAGAAATACTCGCCCTTAGATTGGTCCGACTATTTTGATCGAGAGGAAGATGTCTCCATACCAGACTCAAATGATGTTGGTGTTATTTTTTTTGGCAGTTCCATGGACATTTTCCATTTTCAGTACCTATTTTATTCTAATATGCTTTATCATTTTAGGTCTTTCATTTATATATGGCAGGAACAGAAGGACCAGTTGTTTTTTGTCTACATGGGGGTGGTTACTCTGGGTATGTTTGATCTCCGTGATATATTTTCATTTGTTTTTATTATATACTTTACTTCTTTGTAGTACATGAAGTTTGATTCTGAGAGTTGTAGAAAATGTGTGTGAAATTGGACTTTTATCTTATTAGATATTTTCTAAAGATTAAGTGATTGGAGTGATTAATATAATAAATTATAGTAGAGGTACCACATTGCATTTCTTTTAGTTAAAAGTATAAATTACATTTGATTATCTTTCAATACAAAAATGATTTTTCCCTTGTTTCCTGTGATCTATGAATATTAAGGCTTGGCTTGTAAATTTTTGCTATTGCTATTTGCTTCTTACTTTCCAAATGTTGCTTTAAAATTAGAAATCCTAAGTTATGCTGGAATGAATATTTGCCTTCTGCATGGCAGAATTAATAGGGGTTCCTTTGTTATGCTGGAATGAATCTTTCTTCGAGAAGATGGGTGGTAGATGGGGCAAAGTGGTAGGTATTCATGAGAGT